ATAATTATCCTCCAAGACCATGTCATACCTCTTCTGCTGGTTCTTCTGACCAAGTTATTCTAAGAAAGAAATGTTGTCAGTTTCGTGTTTCCCTAGTAACTCGAACCATACTGCGCACAGCATTGGTGATGAAGAAATATTTCATGACTGTCTGAATGACTAGGGCCACCCTGTTATCTGTGATCTTAGGCACTGAAAAGATTGTAAAAAAAAAAATCAGGATGTTGGACTTTCTTAAACTCGTTTTGGTGGCTTGGTATGGCTTTATTTTGAGTTGCTTGCAGATATGGGGGCGGGGAGAGAACCATAATCCCCCCCCCCCTTTTTTAATTAGTTGATACTTTCCTCTTCCTGTTGCACAAATAAACAGTCCTAGGGGCCTCTCTGTTCACTCCAAATTTCCCACTTCTGCATCGCAGCTTCACCTGCTGGAAGAAGCTCCCAGGTGGTCAAGCTGTCTGAGACGTGAAAGTCGTCCACAGTAGGCTCTTTGGTTGCCTTTGAAGATTTCCCACAGATGCTTAGGGAGGTCCATGTGGGGGAGGGAGAGGCTTGTCTTTAAGGTGCTTCCAGCTGGTCTGATCATTCAGTCTACAGGAGACACATCCGATGAACGAGAGAAAAAAAACCAAACAAAATGTAATTACCTATGTACATAGGGGAACCCCAGGTATGTGGGGGAGTCTGAGACAGAAAGGGAAAGCGGGGGACCCATGACGTTCTGAGCTAAGGGTGAGGCGAGGCAGCTTGGGACTTCAGGTGGGAGGAAGGTCATTCTCGGGGCGATAAGAACAGGTTTCCAGTCATTAGAAGCTTGTCCCGCCCTCTCCATAGGCCATAAAAAGTGATTTCTGGAGATAACTCTTACTTTGGGCAAGGCCCCTAATTTAAATTCTTCAAGGGCGCGGTGAAGGCCTCTCTGGAGCCTGCAGGGAAGTCTCCACGGTCTTCAGCTCTGAATAACCCGCTCGCAGTAGGGACAGCGCGGTGGGGGATGCTCTGTCTTCTCGCGATGCTGTGGTAACACGCACTGGGTTCCCGGTCGAATGGTGCATATTCACGTGGCTCAGGCATAGCTCTTGCATTGACGTGTCTGATAAATAATGGTAAGAAAGACTTCTGATTCTTCCTTCAGGACAAATGCTGTTGTTGCACGTGTGTAAGGCCTTAATCCAAAGAGCAATTGTTTCTTTGTAGTGTGGTTTCGGAACTTTCCTCAACGTGCATCCTCACTGTATAAAGTCACCCAGCTCAACACCCACATATGGATGTCTGTGTCCATACATCTGCTTGTGTATATGTACACTCTATTACATATATGTATGCATATCACTCTACCGTGCTAAAGTGCGGATATTATAAAACATGAAATTATACATTTTAAGAAGGCTGGTACTTTGTGTGGCTCAGTTGGTTGGCTGTGGTCCTGTGCCCTGAGGGGTTGCCCGCGGTTCGATTCCCCGGTGGGGCGCATGCGGGAGGTGGCTGATTGATGTGCACTCGCACATCGACGTTTTTCTCTCTCTCACTCTCCCTCGACAAAAAAAAAAAAAAAAAAATATCTGAACTAATCACTCACTCAGTCAATCAATAAACAAACAGAAGTCGGAGCATTTTCTTTTGGGCCTCAAGGGCACCTGAGTTACCCTTTGAAATGGGTGGGCCCAGCCTGGAGACCACGGCTCTTCCACCCTCTCCGGTGGGCGTTCCTGGCTACTTGGAAGCAATTTCTAGGCTCCTGGTGGTGGGGGGAAAGGGGGGTGCTTGTAAGGGAGGCTCCGGACACCCTCTTCCCTTAATGGGCCCAGCATTTGCTGTGTATGTTCTTTTCCCAAGGACGGGACTATGTTGGCCCGTTCTCTTCCAGAACGGGTTGTGGGTTGTGAGCTTGAGGTTTCATTTGGGGGCGGGGAGGGGTGGGCAGTGGAATGGGGGATGCTATTCTTGGAATGCTTCTGGTTGAACTCAGCTGTTTAGGAAGCGCTGTGCTATCATCCAGAGCTGACACCAGACCCAGGGTCACGGTGGAAAACCTAACTAATCATTTGCTCATCCAGAAGCTTCTAAAAGGAAAGTACAGCCTGGCTGGCATGGCCCAGTGGTTGAGTGTGGGCCTCTGAACCCGGAGGTCAGGGTTTGATTCCCTGTCAGGGCACATGCCCAGGTTGCAGGTTTGATCCCCAGTGTGGGGCGTGCAGGAGGCAGCCGATCCATGATTCTCTCTCATCACTGATGTTTCTATCTCTCTCTTCCCTCTCCCTTCCTCTCTGATATCAATAAAGATATATTAAAAAAAAGTTAAATATAACTTGGAAAGTACAAAGTAATAGTATACTTCTGCTTGTGTATTATTGGCTAGGACTGGAGCCCACAGCCTCCCCCAGTGTGAGGGAGGTGAGGGGTCCCCCCCTCTCTGGGGAGGCCAAGCCACCGCCTCTGTGCACAGAGCTGCAAACTGAACCAGCCCCCAGCCTGCTCTGCACGCTCCCGCCCCCGTGTGCGGCCTGATCCTAACCCATCGCACTCACCATTGCCTGGCCTTCTGTTGTATATTGATTTTGCGTGTTTACCTCCTGTCTGTCCTCAATGGGGCACAAGTGCTGTCTGAGCAGGGATGTTTCTGGTTTACTCCTGTTCCCTGCTCTCCAGCGGTTCTGGCCACAGAAAAGGCTCTTCGCAGACAAATATTTGTTTAGGGAATGATTGAGAGCCGTGGTTTGCACATGTGAGAGCCGGGTACCTGGCTTTTGTTGACCTAAGTAGTGTCACTTTAAAGTCCTGTCTCTGTGGTAAAGGATCTAACTCGAGGACCTTTTATACCTCACGTTAGGTCTTTTCTGGGTTATTTGAAATGGCCTGTGCGTCAGCTCTGCAGAAGGTAACAGCAGGGATCCCCGGGTTCCAGGTTCCATCAGAACCAGCACGGCCATCGGACGGGGTGGATCCGGGAGACTGGGTGCCCCGAGCGGAAGTGGGGAGACTGGGTGCCCCGAGCAGAAGGGGGACCTTACGTTCACGGGAAAGTGTGGGCTGCACCTTCCCAGCTTCCAAAGTCTAGTCCCAACGGACAACGGCTGCCCTGTTGGAATCAGGAACCGAAAAGCCCAGCTGTGGACTCGTTACTCCAGGCGACTATCAATGATTACCTGGGGTTTATCTCCCAGCCCATGAGCCGCGATAATTTCTACAGGAAATGATGGTTTTTAAAAACCCATCAGTGGCGTGTCATGTACCTTCAGTGAGTCTGTACTGTTAAGGATGGCCAAGGACGTTAGAATATTCCTTATGCCTTAAATATAGTAGGTGCTCAGTAAACCCTAGTTTTCATCTTGCAGATAGAAGTCTTTTATTCTCGTTATCCTGACGTACCAATTCCTCTGTTATGTGAATTTAGGGGATTTCATTCTAACTCCTGTTTGTTGAAATTTGGGTATTAAGGACTGCTATGGTGAAAGCTGTAGAGAAGGCTGAGAGATTAGCCTAAATATTATTAAAATCGCCTAATTGTTTAAGAGTTATTGTAAGTCATTTTCATGGAATAATTGATCTATTTTCCTGTTTAAAAAGTTTTAAGTGATGAAAAGAGTGAGTGAGGGGGGGGGCTGATGTTTTTGACTTAGGAACAGAATAAAGAACTTGGGGGAGATATCGCTAAAGGTAAATTTAAAAACAGCTATTGTATTGACTTTCATGGATGCTCTGATAAGAGAGAACCTTATAAGGCTGATGGGAATTTCCCTTTACTGATGCAGAAACTAAGTTTAATGAGAGAGAACACGTGGTTTTCTGAATCTTAGTTCTCAGGGCTCTTCCCTCCGGCCCACAGCTGCCTTGTGAGGAATGGCTGGTCTCCCTGAATCATGAAAGGAATGAATGAAAGGAGAGAGCGAGAGGGAGGGAGGAGAGAAGGTGCCAGCATGTGGGAATGGTGGCATTTCCAGCCAACTGCCCCGAAAGGGACCACGGTGGCCCAGGGCTGGGCTAGTGCGCTTGTCGCCTGATCTGAAACATGCCCTGTTCTGTCTGCCGTCCATGGGAAATTTTGTACTTTGCAGCCGGGTAGGTGGCCTGCTGGTTGACTCGGGGCGGGGGGCTTCCCTGTGATGGCACAGACAACATTCCTTTAGCTCCTGAGTCCTTGTCAAGATGAGAAGAAGCACCACCAGCGGAAAACGGGTTTTGTCTTGCATTTAAACTTTGCTAGACTTGCATGATTTTTGTTTAAGCCAGTGCATACTCAGAAGGGCCCAGCTGGTGTGGCTCAGTGGTTGAGCATCGACCCATGAACCAGGAGGTCACGGTTTGATTCCTGGTCAGGGTACATGCCCGGGTTGGGGGCTTGATCCCCAGTTGGGGGCGGGGGAGGGGCTCGATCCCCAATTGGGGGTGTGCAGGAGGCAGCCGATCAATGATTCTCTCTCATCATTGATGTTTCTCTCTCTCTCTCCCTCTCCCTTCCTCTCTGAAATCAATAAAAATATATATTAAAAAAGGAAAAAAGTACTCAGAAGGGTTTATCACACACAGTACTTTACTTACCCAAAGAATAAGTGCTTGCAACCCCCCCCCTGCCCACCCCCCTTCGCCCCCCACTATTGCAGGTGTAGCCCATAGGACTTTGCTCACCTCGGCAGTGAATTATAAAACCTCAGCAGCCAGGCTGGGAGCGGAGCAGCCATTGACCTGCTCTGCTGGCGCTGCTCCAGGGTATCGTGTCCCCGGTGGAGTAAGTGGGCCACTTGTTTAAAGCTGGCGGCGGGCCATGGGAAGGCTCTGAGGCAGGCGTGGCAGTAACTGCTCTGCTAATTTTAGGGCCGGCAGATCCGGGTGATGTCTGATGGCTGCTGTCGCCGTGCGTCTGGGCCTGGGAGCTTTCTAAATGCATCCTCAGCCCGGCCCCCTGGCGCTCAGCCCCTCCCGCAGGAGCGGGGTCTGGGGGTGGGGGGGAGGGGGGGCGGGCAAGGTAGGCACTGGGTATGTGGGTGTCATGGGAGGCACGGTCCCAGGGGACGCTGCCTTTGATCTTCCTGTTTCCTTGTCATCCCATCAGCCGATACCGGCCCCGCGTGTCCTTCCCACGCTGCAGCACCTGGGAGGCGTGGCGGGGACGGGGCGTGTGACTCAGGCTCCCAGCGTAACCATAGCGGGGACTTGCTTTCTGTGCTGCCCGGCCAGCCTCAGCCACTTTCAGACTGAACTTTCACCTCCTCCTTTCCTGGGAAATGAAACCTGAGGGGAGAGGTGAGAACTTCTCCAAACTCCTGGGAGCACAGAAGTAGGATCTCCTTGCTGTTGCAGAAGACGGAGTGGCCCCAGGCCTGTTTGGCGGGCAGGGAGGGTAATCCAGGCTGAAATGAGGATCTCTCTTTCACCTCTGGCATCCTGAGGTTCCCAAGTGAGTCAGAGCGCCCCAGGGTGTGAGGCCCCGGCGGGCAGGGACCTTGTCACCTCCCCCCCCATCCTCTCCCCCAGGAAACGTCTGGCACAGTCAGCAAATTTACCAGCGCGCAGCCTTGCAGGCCTCCGAGGTGCCTCCCAGTTACCCTGCAGTCAGACGTCCTCACTGTGCCGATTCGGAAACATTTGCACAGCCAGGCCCTGTAGGCTGGACGGCGGCTCCTTCGGGGGTGAGCTCACTTCCCGTGAACTGTCAGTGTCCCGGCGGGCGGATGGCCGTGTGTCCGGTGTGTTAGCAAAAGACTCCGGTGTCAGAGACCCGGGTGGATGGCACTGACTCCCTCAGGGAAGGGCTCCCTGGTCCCTGAGCGTAAGGTGGGTTTGCACGGCCGGGAATCGGCGGAGGGCCGGTGGGGGCAGGGTTAGGCCTTGGAAAGGGTGAGGATTTGCATTTTTGTTGAGTGGCCCTTGTGTGCAGTGACATTCCTGCTCGCAGTACTGTCCCCGTCACCCAGCTCTGCCTAAAACCAAACTTACTTCCTTGACTGCTTTAGGTTTCGCAACTCAAAAAATGGGCTTTATCAGTAAAAGCAACATTAAGGAGACCTGATGGGCAGTATTTTCAAAGTGGTGATGAACTTGTCTGTCTGGTAAGTTTATCTCCACCCCCCACCATTGTGATTTGCTTAAGGTTGTATAGAGTGTGTCATAAACCTAAAGGAGAGAATATTTTGCATTGTGGCGTTGGGTTGCCTGGTAGGTTGTGGGCGCTCAGGTGCACGTGGGCATTCAGGAGTCCGATGCTGACTGCGTGCTCTGGGGGGCCCCGCCCAGTAGTAGGAAGGACTCAGGGTATGGGGGTGAGTACACGCAGGGGTGTTGCTCTTATGGCGCTTTCATTCTGGCAACAGAGTGAATCTTCTAATAGAGCTTTTCTCAGTTGATTTATTTCGTTTTTTAAATATTTTTAATGCTTTCAGAGAGGAAGGGAGAGGGAGAGAGAGATAGAAACATCAATGATGAGAGAATCATTGACTGGTTTTCTCCTGCACGCCCCACACTGGGGGGCCGAGCCCGCAACCCGGGCATGTGCCCTGACCGGGAATCGAACCCATGACCTCCTGGTTCATAGGTCGACGCTCAACCACTGAGCCACGCCAGCTGGGCAGAGTGTCCATGTTCTTCAATGAAGATCTGCCAGGGAGTAAAACTTAGCGATAGGCTTGTCACTTTCCACTAACAAATGCAAGGCCGGGAAATGAGCCTCACATTTTCTGAAGATGGGAAGGCTGCCTGGTGTTCATTGTATTCGGTGCCTCACAGAATCGGGGTGATCTGGATGCTGCCTTCATTTCCTCCCTTTGCTGTCGTCTGCTCAGGATCTGTTACAGACGGGTTATGCTGATGTGGCTGATTTTTGCCAATAATTTAAGCGTGGAGGGATGCGGGGACCCTCCGGAGCGATAAGAACACAGCTGCTGAGGGTGGCGGGGAGCAGGGGAACGTGTCGCGGGCCTTCACTTGATTTGGGGGCAGAAGCTGGGGCCGAGCAGCTGCAGATGGGGTGCCTGCAACTCCCACCGTGGCCATGGGGGCGTTTTTTACATCTTTTTGTTTGTCGTGAACAAAAGCAGCTCTGAGCTTCATCAGCGAGGTCAAGTTTACATACGTGCTGGGGACGGGCGGCTCAGCTGAAACATCACACTCCCGTGTAGGGAGGGAGACTGGCCTGTGATGTGCTGGTTCGGCCTCGGCCCGGCGTTAACATGCCTCTCCATGTGCGCGCGCTGATTTTCTATTAATGGGCAAACATTGACACTGACCTTTGCCCTTGGACAGCGCTATTCCAGCCCCCAGTCCCTGCGGCTTTTTCTGCGTTCACTGTGATGAGAAGGATCGGCAGCCCCTGCAGGCAGCCTGGGCCTGATTCTCCTGATTCTCCGGATACTAAGTTTGTTGGCTGGGTAGTTGGGAGGAAGACGGGGATGTTTGCAGAAGAGGAAGTTTTCTCACCGGCAGATCTTCACGGGAAGAGGGGGAGGAGATGCCGGAGAGTTTGGAATATTCTTTTTTTGTTGTTAATCCTCACCAGAGGATATTTTTCCATTGATTTTTAGGGAGAGTGGGAGAAAGAGGGAAAAACAGAGAGAAACATCGATGTGAGAGAAACACATCGATGGGTTGCCTCCTGCACTTGCCCCAACCAGGGCCCGGGCCCAGGAGGAGCCTGCAATCGAGGTACCTGCCCTTGACCGGAATCGAACCCAGGACCCTTTGGTCTGCAGGCTGATGCTCTGTCCACTGAGCCAAACTGGCTAGGGCAGAATTTCGAATATTCTAGAAATCCTCCTGGAAGTGGTGTTCCCACAGCCCCTCCCACCCAGGGTCTCTGTTACTGTTGGACTCAGAATAAAGACTGCGGGTCGAGCCTGTAATCCTGTGGGCGATTCGTCCAAGGTGGTGCTCCAGCCCTGCTGGCTTCTTGTCGCTCAGGTGCTGGGTGTGTTCTCTGGATTCAAAGGGACTTGGTGCCCGGCTGGCGTGGCTCAGTGGTTGAGCATTGACCCAGGAACCAGGAGGTCCCGGGTTCGATTCCCGGTCAGGGTACATGCCTGGGTTGTGGGTTCGATCCCCAGTGTGGGGCGTGCAGGAGGCAGCCCATCAATGATTCTTTCTCATCATGGATGTTTCTCTCTCTCTCTCCCTCTCCCTTCCTCTCTGAAACCAATAAAAATATATTTTTAAAAAAAGGAAAAAAAGGCACTTGGCCCCTGAAAGTTCATATTCTGTTGCTCCCTGAATGGAGATGTGAACCAAGTTGACCTGCATCTAGAATTTTCTGCCTTTGTGTCTTCTTGGTTCTGGAATTATAACTGGCTCCTTTCTAAAAGCCCGGCCCTCCTGACCTTGGCTTTCCAGCCGTCTCTCTCGCTTGTTCAGAGGTTTTAGTCCTTGCTGCTTTCTTCTGAATGTTTAGATCCCAACTGATCTCCAGAGTGGCTGGAAGACAGTCCGTGTTCCATAGGGTGTGTAGGACCTTGCGAACCCCTTGACTCCCTGGCAAAAGTGGGGGCTTGCTGGAGGCCCCCCGTGACTGCTTGTGACTTCCTGTCTGAGATTTCTGCAGCTTGACCATCAGGCGGAGGACTTTAAAACATCGTATAAGGGACTCATAAGAATCACGTTTTCAGTCATTTCTCTGAGTGAGACATTGTGAAGTTCATCTTGTCAGTAGTATTTTTTTTAATGTATTTCATTAATAAAACTATAAAAATAATCAAGGATGTTGCTTCCTGACACCTGTAACTCTGAGTTGACTTTCTTTGGGTGTGAGTACTCTCAGTGCTAAAATAACACAAAGCAAAAACGCCCCACCCTAGCCGGGCTGGTGCAGTGGATAGGGCACTGGCCCTGGGACTGAAGGGTCCCGGGTTCGATTCTGGTCAAGGTCATGTACCTCCGTTGCAGGCTCAATTGGGGCACGAGGGAGGCAACCAATCGACGTGTTTCTCTCACATCAGTGTTTCTCTCTCTCTCTCTCTCTCTCTCTCTCTCTCTCTGTCTCTCTCCTTTCCTTCCCCTCTCTCTAAAAGTCAATGGGAAATTATCCTCAGATGAGGATTAACAACAACAAAGCCCAAACTTTTATTAGCTTTAGCACATAACATCACATTCCTGTGCATAATCACAAGAAATATAGGAAGAAAGGCCAGCGCTTAAGCAAGTGTGCAGTAAGTTCACAGAAATGGTGCGGGTAGGAGATTAATGTCATGAGTCACCTTTACATGCGTAACTTTTTGTTCCGGGCGTGAAAGAGCAGCTCCCCACATTGCACGCTAATAATGCAGTTTGAACGAATACGACGTGTGGCAGTCAAGCCTCTAAGGTGGCAGGTGACATGGACTTACCCGTCAGGCCCAGGTGGCCGGCGTGCTGTTCGCAGGGGCCAGCGCGCGTCGCCATAGTTTCTGTGTTTTGTTGGATGAGGCGCTAGGAATGGAAGCAGGGATCTTAAAACACTCTCTCCAGTTCAGTGCATTCATTTTAAACGTTGATCAGAAAGAACCCAGTGATGTCATTCCAAACGTCTCTCTGATCTGCCGTTGGAGGCCAGGCCCGACAACTTATTCTGTAACGTCACCGCGTGTTTGTCTTTTGATGAGCAAAAGGGGTCTGGAATGTGTGCACTTTTGTGTTACCGTTGACAACTGCCCGCAACACATCACGGTTGAGTTCCAGCGCTGAAGGGCACGATGGGCCCTGAGTCACCATTCCAGTTCGGCAGCTGCCAAACCGGTCTCCCCGGTTTCCTGGGGGTGGGTGCCCTGCCCAGGGGCTTTCAGAGAAAGGAGATGAACACAGACCATTAGAAAAGAAATTGTTTTTTTTTTCTTAGCAGCTGCCCGTTTCTTATTAAAAAACAATTTCTTTTGGTATTGATTTCAGAGAGGAAGGGAGAGGGCAAGATAGAAACATCAGTGATGAGAGAGAATCATGGATCGGCCGCCTCCTGCACGCCCCACACTGGGGATCAAGCCCACAACCCGGGCATGTGCCCTGACCGGGAATCGAACCCTGACCTCCTGGTTCATAGGTCGGCGCTCAACCACTGAGCCACACCGGCCGGGCTGTTTTCTGTTATTTCAATCTTGCAGGTGGTCAGTCCTCCGTGCAATCGCCCCCCCTTCCCCGACATTGGGGCTCTTGTGAGAAACTGCCTTCAGGTTCTGTCCAGAGGTGAAGGGTGGGTGTGGGGGGGAAGTGGGGAGATTACCAGCTGAGCCTACACCTGCCCCTGAAGACTTCAAACCATGCAGCTCTTCAGTGGCACGGGGTCAAAGGTTAATAGATGGGCAGGAAAGAAGGGGTCAAGCACCTTCCTGACCTCTGCCCTCAGCACTCCACCTCTCCCAGGTTAAGCTCTGCAGATTGTAATAAAGGAGAAGGTTAGTAATTGCGTGGGGACTTGGGGTGAGGCATTCACCCCAGAGAAATAATCACATTTGGCCCCAAAGATGTATGCATGTGTGAGCGCGCTCAATGCAGTATTAATTATAATGTGAGAAACTGGAAAAATATTGGCAGGAAGATATTAAATTATGATTCTCCATATGATCAAGTCATTTAAGTCAATTAAGTGTCTTGTTTTATAAGGCCATTTAATGACAGGGGAAAATGTTCACAGAATATTAAATGAAGACATTTTCTCGCTAAGTAGCATATATAATAGATCCCAATTTCACGGGGAAATTAAATGTGCATATGCATCAACAGAACAGGGATACAGTAAAAAATTACAGTGGTTATTGCTTGTGGTGGTGTTATGTGTAATTACCATTTTCTTTTCTTTTTGCATTTCTTCTACTGTGTTTTTAAAATGAACGTATGAATTTTGTGATAGGAAAAGTGTGGCATTAAAATATTTGAGTTATATGACGCAGTTATATATATCTTTTAAATAGTGTCAGTCTGCCCTGGCCCGGTGGCTCCGTTGGCTGGAGCGACGTCTGTACATCAAAAGGTTGAGGGTTCGATTCCTGGTCAGGGCACATGCCTGGGTTTTGGGTTTGATCCCCAGTTGGGGCATGTACTAGTACAGGAGGCAACCGATCGATGTTTCTCTCTCACACAATGTTTCTGTCTCTCCCTTCTTCTCTCTCTAAAAATCAATAAAAACTATTAGTCTGTTTCAGTATAGTTTCCTGGCTCAATATAGTTTAGATTATTTTATTATGTAATCTTCCTGATTTGTTCTTTTGATTATACTTAACAGAAGTTTTCAAGGCAAGTAATTAGCAAACATACGTTAGGTACCTATTATGTCTGATAAATACATTTTTGGTACATGTTCTTTACCATGAAAGCATTTATAATCTAAGCTAGTTGTCATGTAGGTAGAACTCCTTTGAAAATTATTTGCCGATCTTGAATGTTAGATTTTAAACACTATAGTTTTTTTAACCTTTTAACGTTCAAACTTGTTACATAGGAAAAATGCATATATATTTATAATTTAATTTCAGGAATTTATTTTTTAAAATATATTTGTATTGATTTCAGAGAGGGAGGGAGAGGGAGAGAGAGAGAAACATCAATGATGAGAGAGAATCATGGATCAGCTTCCTCCTGCACGCCCCCTACTGGGGATTGAGTCCGCAACCAAGGCATGTGCCCTGACTGGGAATCAAACTGTTACCTCCTGGTTCATAGGTCAACACTCAACCACTGAGCTACGCCAGCTGAGCAGGAATTTATTTTTTATTATGAATCTAATTTATTGGTAAGGCACTGCATGACTTCCTTTTATATACATTATTTTATTTAATCTTCACAGCTTCCAATCCTTTTCAATGGGGCGTCCTTCTCAGTTGGCATGAGTTAAATTACAGACCTGGGCATTTACTTTAAAAACGCCATGAATGCTCTTTTTATGTGTGAGGGCAGAGGCCCTGGCCTTCCATAACATCCCCATCTCTTCAGCAGTATAATTGCTAGCCTTCGATATTATGCTTTTTGACATTTACATTAAAAATAAAAATTAGCTAATTTGTAAGCTATAAGGTCTCGAAAAGACAGCTCATTCTTCTTTCGCACCTGTTAATGGCTCTATTAAGATGCCAAAGTGGCTGATTAAATTAAGTGCAGTGTCAAAGGCTGGCTGTCTCTCTGTGAGTCCGTCTATGTGACTTATGGAAGCGCGACTTCAGAATTACGTCTGCTTAGCAGCCCTAAAGTCAGCTCTTACTATCCATCAAGCTGCAGTGCGTGTAGCTGAGAAGTATTAGACTAGGCGGGCCATCCTCACGCTGTCACAGAGCTGCCTGTAAAACAGATTCAGTGTTACGTCCTTGACGTTACTTGTTCCCATCACACGTCCGAGGCCAGGTGCGTGGCCTGAATGGGCCCTGTCCCCTGAGCTCTGCCTGCGGCGCCGGACAGCAGTGACGGAATCCGATGGTGGGACAGCCAGTGCCCACGTGCCATCGCGTAAGAAGATGGAGTGCATTGTTGGAGAATCAGAATCCCATATTTTCTCTTCTTATTTTTTTACTAAAAGAATATTTTTTTAAATATATTTTTTATTGATTTCAGAGAGGGAGAGAGAGAGAAACATCAATGATGAGAGAGAATCATTGACTGGCTGCTTCCTGCACGCCCCCCACTGGGGATCCAGCCCACAACCCCGGGCATGTGCCCCGACCGGGAATGGAACTGTGACCTCCTGGTTCCTAGGTGGACGCTCAACCACTGAGCCACGCCAGCCGGGCACTTAGAATAAGTTTTAAACTTGGGAACAAGGCGCCATGGGAGGGTTCAGTGGGAGAGGAGAGGGGGGAAGACGGGGTGCCCATCATTTCCAGGAGCAGGGCATGTAGGTGAGGACCTAGAATTTGTTTCCTGAGACCCCTGCACCTTTTACCTCCCCCCTGAACTGTGCACAGGGCCCTGGGCCTCAGGTTGAAGCCTGCACTGCCTTCATCGCTGGCTGACCCAGGCCTGGCCTGGAGGAGGCCTGGGCTGGGCTGGGCTAGGGTGGGCTCCCCATGGCACCCCTCCCCCTGTGGTACCCCTCCTTGCTTTAGGGGCTGCTGCTGAAGCCACCTCCCCTCTAGGTTAGTCTCGGCCCCCCTGGTCACAGGAAGCAGGCTGCTTGAGTTAGGCCTTGGGGAGGAGTGGAAGTATTTCTGTCATGAAAAACAATAACTGTTTATAGAGGCCTGCAGGGTTTCATCACGCTTATGTAACCAGTTTTCTAGGACACGGACGGGACCGCCATCACTTGCCGGCTCAGTGGCTGTGGCCCGGGTGTCCTGAGGCCCTTTATTCCCCGAGTTTCCGGGCCGCCTGCTCGGGAACTGGGCGCCTTGTGCGCCGTCAGACCAGCCTCTGCTGCCTGCACGGGGACCTCAGAGACAGGCCATATTGTGTCGTCAGCAGGCGTCTCTTAAATGTAGGTTGTGCCCGGCCAGCGTGGCTCAGTGGTTGAGCATCAACCTACGAACAGGGAGGTCACGGTTCGACTCCTGGTCCCCAGTGTGGGGCGTGCAGGAGGCAGCCGATCCATGATGCTCGCTCATCATTGATGTTTCTCTCTCTCCCCCTCTCTCTTCCTCTCTGAAATCAATAAAAGAATATTGGGGGGAAAAACGTAGGTTGTCATCTCTTTTGGGAAATTACATAAACAGAGACCCTCAGGCAAAAAACCGCACACAAGGAAAACCAACAAAAACCCCAACTCCAGACAGTAAGGGGTTGGTTCTCAGCCATCCCAGTTGTCTCACCAGGTCACACTCAGCCCCTGGTTACAGCCGGCGTGGCCTTTGCCCGGATGAGGCAATCCTGCCCTCATGGTGTGGAGTCACCAGAAGAAGCTGGAAATACTTGATTGAACCTAAAAGGGAGTGTGCATCTTGGCCCTAACCTATTAGGGAGGGGAACTGGCAAAAAAAACAGTTGATTTCAAAATTTCTGTTTTCAGGACGTACTTTATTATTCTGCTTAATATAGCACAGCACAGATGTGCAAACAAATGCTTTTTATCTTATTTTTTAAATATATTTTTATTGATTTCAGAGAAGAAGGGAGAGGAAGAGAGAGGCAGAGACATCAATGATGAGAGAGAATCATGGATCGGCTGCCTCCTGCACGCCCCCTACTGGGGATCGAGCCCACAACCCGGGTATGTACCCTGACCGGGAATCGAACTGTGACCTCCTGGCTCATAGGTTGATGTTCAACCACTGAGCCACGCTGGCCGGACAAACAAATGCTTTTTAATTCTTTTTAACTCTTGTCACCAGCGCTGCCCCTTCCTTTAAAAACTCAGAGTGGGTATCATGTTTAGAGCTCAGCTTCAGCTCCCCCTGGGCCCAAGGTTTAGTTCAGGGCCAGGGTGCCACTCGGAAGGCGGTAAACGCGGGCGCGGATTCGTGCCCAGGATTCTGGCAAGAGCCCTGCGTACACGCAAGGGTTTCCTTTCCAATCACTCGTACTTTCCTTGTTATACTTTTCCATCTGATAAGTGTGAGTCACACACATTCTGGAAGCTGCTACTTATCTCGGACAGGAGATGCCGAGGTAGATACGGGCGTGATGAATGGTGTGCGGGGTTCCTCCGAGCCGGCGCCTCTGCAGAGCCCTGTCATTGTGTCCTGTGGTGACAGTCCCTTCGGCGGGAGGCTCAGGCAGGCCTTGCACAACTCCGATACGAGGCTCTGCTCAGCGCTGCAGCTGGGCACGGAGGGGTGGTCTCAGCCCCCCTGGGGAGGCAGCCCGGCTCCAGGCTGCGCACCCTTGCCAGCCTCTCGGAAGCCAGCACGGCTGCTTCCCACGGGGGCAGGCACAGGGGCGCCCAGCATGGCCGGTGGGGTTCCCAGGATTGGGAACACGTTGGATCTGATCGTGCACAGAGGACGATGCAACTTCCTGTAGCAGGTAACCATGCGCCTGGGGCCAAAATTCTCACTGGCAGAGCTTCCTGGAAAGCTGTGAGCGTTCTGCTGTCCCGAGTCCTCCTGCCAAGTGGTGCGTTAGTCGGGGATAGAAGCGGGCAGGAAGCAGCCACTGGCTGGGGCCGCGTGAGACTCCTTGAGCTGTCACCTGCTTCGCGGCAGGTGGCCCGCCCGCAGAGGCTCTGCTCCAGGTGACCACCAGCAACTCTGTTTCTTACTTCAAACAGAGTATGTAATCCGAATCCAGGACCTCCAACTCCATGCTGTTCCAGGCCAGGTTTTCTTTTTTTTAATATATTTTTATTCAGAGAGGAAGGGAGAGGGGGAGAGAGAGAGAGAGAAACATCCATGATGAGAGAGAATCATGGATCGGCTGCCTCCTGCACGCCCCACACTGGGGATCGAGCCCGCAACCCCGGGCATGTGCCCTGACCAGGAATCCAACCGTCACCTCCTGGTTCAGAGGTCGATGCTCAACCACTGAGCCACACCGGCCGGGCTCCCTTTTTTTTTTTTTTAAGCATATTGATTGGAAGAAAACGGTCATTCCCTGCACAGCTCTCATTCTGAGGGTACGTTAAGTCTAAATGTAGTCCCTGCCCCACTGGGAGTTGGTTTAGATGGTTTATCTGAACGTGGGGATTCTGCAGGGAAAGGGAGGCGATTTCGAGACCTCAGCCCAGGGGAGTGTGGGGCGAGCTTCGTGTGCTGGAGAAAGTGTCCAGACCCGCCTTCTCTCCTCCCTGGGGAAGGTGACAGCTGAAAAGAGTCAGGTTCGCCAGTGGCAGCAGTGACCGGAGCGGGGAGCAGTGTGCTCTGACCTTCACCTGTCCTTGTGCTTGCTCCCCTCCCCGTGGAGCGGGTGGGGTGGGCTGGAGGGAATGTTATTTTGGGTTGAAAGTTTTTGCTACATCTTCAGTTGTCCTTAGGGACCCAGACCCTTTTGTCCTTTATGGTTTAGCCTTTTTAGCCAGTTCCTTAGAGTTAGGCCGGCCTTCTCTGCCCCGGGCTTTGTGCTCTTTGGACTGGAAATTGAATGAGATGGGGCGAGGGCTCTTTGTGTGAATGAAAGGGGCAGTGACAGGGAAGACAGGGGACCCAGCTTGACCCCTCGCTAGCCGCCACCAGGGCTCCCACCAGCAGGGCGGCTTTGTGCTGAGGGACAGGGCGGCTTTGTGCTGAGGGACAGGGCCCTTGGAACTGGGCGGCCAGGTGATGCTGGGGGAGGGCAGACACTCCCACAGTCAATGGGAACCAGCCATGGCCAAGGTCAGCCAGCCTGTCCCTCAGAACTCGCACCTGCCTGGTGTCTCTTTTGTGTCTTCCCAGACGTGGCCGTGCTTTGGCGTCATCGTCACAGGAGACGGGGGGTGCATTTGAAAAGCCACAGATGGGGTGGCCCGGCCCAGAGATTCTGATTTAGGTGGAATGCGCGCGGCCGGCGCTTCCCAGAGCCCTTCAGTGGTTCTGACCCGTAGCCTGGACTGAGCGCCTCACCTGCTAGCAGGGCCACTTACGGGAGGACCACCTGCCCACAGGCCACCTGCGGGAGCTGGACCACCTGCGGGAGGCGGGCGCCCTTGTCCTCGGAGCATCTGGTTATCCAGGATTTCGGGGACTTGAACTTTGCAGAGGTTCGGTGGCATTAGGTGATTTCAGGAGGGATTCTGACTGCATCTCAGGAAGAGCTTCTTTAACTCGGGAGACCCGGCCGAGACTGTGATGAGAACTCTGAAGTCTGTGGATGCTCCCAAGACCTCAGGGGCGTGGGTAGAAGCCTGTGGATGCTCCTGAGACCTCAGCGGGGTGGGTAGAAGCCTGTGGATGCTCCTGAGACCTCAGCGGGGTGGGTAGAAGCCTGTGGATGCTCCTGAGACCTCAGAGGGGTGGGTAGAAGCCTGTGGATGCTCCTGAGACCTCAGCGGGGTGGGTAGAAGCCTGTGGATGCTCCTGAGACCTCAGAGGGGTGGGTAGAAGCCTGTGGATGCTCCTGAGACCTCAGCGGGGTGGGTAGAAGCCTGTGGATGCTCCTGAGACCTCAGAGGGGTGGGTAGAAGCCTGTGGATGCTCCTGAGACCTCAGCGGGGTGGGTAGAAGCCTGTGGATGCTCCTGAGACCTCAGAGGGGTGGGTAGAAGCCTGTGGATGCTCCTGAGACCTCAGCGGGGTGGGTAGAAGCCTGTGGATGCTCCTGAGACCTCAGAGGGGTGGGTAGAAGCCTGTGGATGCTCCTGAGACCTCAGAGGCGTGGGTAGAAGGAGGCTGGGAGGCAGATTGGGACGTGGCTCCTTTTAGTGCTGGTCCCAGGACGAGAATGAGGACGGAACTTTCGGGAACAAAAAGGAGATGGGCACCCTCGCTGCAGACGGAGCTCTTCGACGCGTGATGAGGAGTGAGGTTCGGGTGAGGACCCCTGTCAGGCTCCCCAGGGGGACCCCAGCCCCGGGCTGGCTCCGGGGCCCTGTGCCTTCACCTCCCCCAGCACCAGCTGCTCATTTTTATTCTCACTCTCGCCACGCAGCCCCTCCCCCGCCGAGCACGTGGTAGCCTGGCTGCGTTCCCCCCTCCTTGGGGCTGTTTTATCTTCGCGTTTTATGTTATCAGCGCGTGGGGAAGTGAGAGGCAGGCCCTGTGCGTCTGCTCTTATCAGGGATGCGATGAGGTCATTGACAGATGGGAGGGGCTGGGCCTTGAGAAACAGGGGGGCCGTACCAGTCCTGGGGGCCAGGGGGCCAGAGATCACTAGAGGCTTGGAGGTCAGGGAAGCAGCTGACAGGGCCTTCTGAGGGCCTGGGCTTGCCTGGCGGTTGGCATTGACCATCAGATGAACTAGATGGTGCCGCCCAGACAGGGTCCCTGCCCTCGCTGTGCCCACAGAGATGAGCACCGCTTCGTCAGGGGGTCCAGCTGTTGGCTCGCTGAAAGCCAGCTTTTCTACAGACCCTCGCTCCAGCCCTGTGCGTGTTGCTCGTTTCCCGCGGAGGTTTGTGTTTCTAATGGGATGTCTTTATTCTGCTCTCTGTGTTGCTGAGAATCTCTGTCTTCTCATTTTATTTTGACAACTTGTTGGGAAATCCTTGCCACTTTGCGAACGTTCGAGATGCCTAGCAACGTGTTACAGATTGTTTGCAGCGCTTCCCTCTCATTATTTCAGCGAAACCGTAATACGTCATTTTATGAAAAGCACCCTAGAGACAGGAAATCAGCTCTAAGAGTTATTTTGAAATTCCTTATTCTACAGAGCTACTTTTTTAAAAATTTAAATATATTTTTTTGAAATTGATTTCAGAGAGGAAAGGAGAGGGAGAGAGAGAGAAAAACATCAATGATGAGAGAGAATCATTGATTGGCTGCCTCCTGCATGCCCTCCACTGGGGATCGAGCCCCCAACCCCGGGCATGTGCCCCTGATTATAATCGAACCCAGGACCCTTGAGTCCCCAGGCCAACGCTCTAGCCACTGAGCCAAACCGGCCAGGGCTGCAGAGCTACATTTTTAATGGAAGATGGTCTCTCGGTCAGGCCGTAACAGGAACGCCCTAGATACTGTCCAGCTTATGTGCGCGAGGGTCTGGGTTGACGTTAGCCCAGCCCACAGGTCACGTGCACGCAGTGGGGGCTGTCTCCCTGCCTCGGCTCCGTCCCAGCCACACACGGACTCATAGACACGGCCCAGCACCAGGCCTCCCAGGAGGCAAAGAAACATTTCTTGACTGTAAGACAGGAGTTTAACTAGTAATTCAATAATTATATATATATAGATATATCTATATATCTATATATATATATCTATATATCTATATCTATATCTATATATATATATATACATATATATATATATATTGATTTAAGAGCAGAAGGGAGAGGGAGAGAGATAGAAACATCAATGATGAGAGAGAATCATTGATCTGCTGCCTCCCGCACGCCTCACACTGGGGATGGAGCCCACAACCCAGGCATGTGCCCTGACCGGGAATCGAACCGTGACCTCCTGATCCATAGGACAATGCTTAATCACTGAGCGACACTGGCCAGGTTTTTTTTTTATCCTCATCTAAGGATATGTTTATTGATTTCTTCATTACTTACAACCAACCTGCTCCCTCCTCCATTTCCCCTGTGCTAAGACAGAAAAGGATGAAATGTAGGGTTTAAGGAGAGAATGGCATTTTTTGGTGAGCCTATGAGAAGCACAAACTGAAGTTGGAAATAATAATGCTCATTTTTATTTCATATTAAGAAATTAGTCTTGTTGCCAGTTTTCTAAGGACAGAATAAAAAGGTTCTGAAAAAAAAAAAAAAAGTTGTTTTTTTTTTTTCAATTCCAGGAACCTTATCAGCGACCAAGGTTTTGGTTAACAATGAACATTCCTTGTGTTGATGACTCAGAGCTCCTCTGTCTCCCGATGCCTGGCGGCCAGCGGTCCAGGGACCGTGTGCTAACTCAGCTTTTGTCGCATGTCACTTGCAAACCAGAAATGGTTCTGATTTACAACCAGCAGGAGCATTGTCTTCCTTTCGGAGAGAATGTGACGGTTATTGTTGAGATGTGAACACTGCGGTGGGCAGGATCCTCTCCCAAAATAAAGACCCTTTATTTTTATTTTTTTAATATATTTCACTGATTTTTTTACAGAGAGGAAGGGAGAGGGACAGAGAGTTAGAAACATTGATGAGAGAGAAACATGGATCAGCTGCCTCCTGCATGCCGCCCCCCCCGCCCCCCGCCCCACTGGGGATGTGCCCGCAACCAAGGTACATGCCCTTGACTGGAATTGAACATGGGACCCTCCAGTCTGCAGGCCGACGCTCCATCCACTGAGCCAAACCGGCCAGGGCAATAAAGACCCTTTAAAAACAGGTGCCTCCCCCGCAGCTGGGCCGGGGAGCCGTGTTTACCTCCGGAGACGAGGGAAAGCGATTGTGGCTGGCAGATCGGGGAGTAGAATCTCGCCCGGCCGATTCCTCAGCGGCTCCTATCCGTGCCGCTTCCCGTTTTAATTCAGACAGTAAGTGTCTGCGAATGTCTGCGCTAAATATTCCTCCTGCTATCAGACCGCGTGCGCGCGTGCCGGAGGACGGATGATTCCGCATTCCTCGCTCCTTCCCTTGCTCGGTGGTTTATTTTCAGGAGTGAGTGACTGGAAATAGAACGCAGCCCTCTTTGCCCCTGATGCTGGCGGCCCCTTTCCCGCAGGGATTCATGGGAGAGAAGAGACAGGGGCCAGGTCACTGACTCAGAGGGCCAGACCCCGACAGCACCCTTGGGAGTGGCCCTTGGTGGCAGGTGGTGCCTAGAGGCCCAGGCTGTTACCATCTTAGTTGTTTTATTTCTTAATATATTCCTAGTTCATTAAACATGAAAATATGAGAGATGGCCCGGCCGGTGTGGATCAGTGGTTGAGCGTCGACCTATGAACCAGGAGGTCACAGTTCCATTCCTGGTCAGGGCACATGCCCGGGTTGTGGGCTCGATCCCCAGTAGGGGGTGTGCAGGAGGCAGTCGATCCATGATTCTCTCTCATCATTGATGTTTCTCTCTCTCTCCTTCTCCCTTCCTCTCTGAAATCAATAAAAACATATTTAAAAACAAACAAGCAACAACAAAACCCATGAGAACTGACTTTGGGTCCTGTCTTGGGGCCCAGTTGGCTCAGCTCTCTCCTGTCAATCGCTCGGGTAGAAATAACCCGTTTGTTGGCAGCTGGTCGGCAGTGGTTCGGCGCCAGGGCCCGGGAGGATTTCCCTCGTTCCCATGAGGGCCAGCGCTTCCTCCTCTCGTGGCTCCTGGTGGGAGCGGAAAGCGGAAAGAGAGCCACGTCAGGGGTGAAGGGCAGCAGGAGCCGAAACGGGGAGGAGCTTCCAGACAAAAGCCAGAGGCAGGCGGGCTGGGCAGGCAGTCCTGCAGGTCACAGGGTAAGCCAGCTCGGCCTGAAGTCACAGCTGGACACGGCCCGTCCCTGCGCCCCGATGAGGACCGCTGGCCTGGGAGGGCCTTCTGGGCAGGTCCCAGGCTCCCTGCTGTCCTGTGGGGTCCACTTGGAGCTCTGAGCTCCACCCCCATTTAGCACCCACATGGCCCAGCTGCCCTGCACCCAGGACCCCCCAGCGCCCACCTGGCCCGGCTGCCCTGCACCCAGGACCCCCCAGCGCCCACCTGGCCCGGCTGCCCTACACCCAGGACCCCCAGTGCCCACCTGGCCCGGCTGCCCTGCACCCAGGACCCCCAGTGCCCACCTGGCCCGGCTGCCCTGCACCCAGGACCCCCCAGTGCCCACCTGGCCCGGCTGCCCTGCACCCAGGACCCCCCAGCACCCACCTGGCCCGGCTGCCCTGCACCCAGGACCCCCCATTGCCCACCTGGCCCGGCTGCCCTGCACCCAGGACCCCCCATTGCCCACCTGGCCCGGCTGCCCTGCACCCAGGACCCCCCAGTGCCCACCTGGCCCGGCTGCCCTACACCCAGGACCCCCCAGCGCCCACCTGGCCCGGCTGCCCTGCACCCAGGACCCCCCAGCGCCCACCTGGCCCGGCTGCCCTGCACCCAGGACCCCCCAGCGCTCCCCCAGGCACCCCTCCCCCCCAGGAGCAGCACACAGGAGCGAGGAAGAGCAGCGACAGCACCGGCCTCGTCAGTCACATTCGACAGGACTGGTCCCGGCCCCGCTGCCCCGTGTGGAAAATCTCTGTGCTCTCGTTAAACCCCCTCCCTGAAATACAAACAGCTGAATTATTTTCCAGTTTGGCCAAGGAAGTAGAGGGTCACATGGGCAATATTTTTGTAGCAGGCAGAGTTACTCATTTCGGGCTTGCGAAGTCTTTCCACACAAACACACTTGACTGTTTTCTCATTGGGGCTGATGCTTCACACGCAGGGCGTTGGAGGGCGGGCAGGGCAGGAGAGGTGGTGAGCACTCTGCCCCCCCCCAACCCCCCAAAACAAACTTCCCCCCATAGGAACCTGTTCTGACTCTTAGTGGCTTGTCCTGTGAGCGGACCGCTAACTTGGTCAACATTTCGTACCTTTGTTTGTCCTAAACTGTACTGAGGACACACACGACTAGTCCTTCCCGCTCCTATGGGCTGCTGTTTTTTCTCTAAAAAAATATTTTTCTTGATGTCAGAGGGGAAGGGAGAGGGAGAGAGAGATAGAAACATCAAGGATGAAAGAGAATCACCGATCAGCTGCCTCCTGCACGCCCCCCACTGGGGATCGAGCCCACAACCCTCTGGGTAGCCTTGATATAAATCCTTGCTCTGACTAGTCTGCCCGGTAGACCCCTGAGATAGAGGAGGGGGAGTGGGGACGGGGAGAGGAGGTGATGTGGTCATGTCCTCTCCTGTGGATAATGAGACTTCAAATTGTCCCTGGGCCTCACGCCCCTGGGAGTGAGAGGGTCGCCTGCCTGCTTCGCCACCTCCTGGGCTCAGTGCGGCCGATGTGTTCTGAGATTCGCACAGGGCGGCTGTGGGCCTCACAGGGAACTGAGGGCCGCAAAGCATCCATGTCCGAAATCCAGGGGAAGACAGGTCTTCGCCCATTAAAGCGTCTGACAGCCGGTTTATTTGTAGGTTTTTTCCTGGGATATTTTTAGAATTTAGTCGCTCCTCTTAGGTTTCTAATTATTGTGACTGTACTCTGAAGGGTACGGAAAAGTGAAGCTGGAAAAAAAAAAAAAAACCCTGCAGAGCTAAGCCAGCTGAATGTCACTCCGGTAATTAATTGGCAGGTAATCAATAATTCAGTGAGAAGTCGCCCAGCCCATGGTGGCAAAGACAGAGCAGTGAATGTGGGAGCGTGCGCGAGCAGCGTGAGCTAATGGGGTGAATTTACATACGGTGTGACTGCCGTGTCCCCCAAGGCTCGTCGTCCGGGACACTTACAGATGAATGGAGCCCCCCCCCCCCCCACGTGTAAATGCTTTCACCGTGTGTCTGTCCCTAAAGAGAAGCCACGGTCACTGCGCATTTGGCTTCAGGAATTCAAGATGGGGCTGCTGTCTGCAGTCATTCGACGGCTCAGAAACTTCAGCTCACCTGCTGCCCTTCTTTCTTACATTCACTCGAAGGTCCCGATTCTCCAATCCTTCTCTTCGGGCTCCTGGACACTCTTACAAATTGGGGGGGGGGGGAGATGGGGAGGGACCGAGTGAGGAACTTCCAGGGGGTGTCGGCGGCTGCGTCCCCGTCACCTGAATCGGCACCTGGCACGTCACTCAAGAAATAGATGTAGCAGTCGGAATAATTCGAGTGAGAGCGAAGCGCTTATATTATACATCTAGTAGGTTCTTAAAAGCCAGATTTATCAAGGTAATTTTTTTTTCTTGTGTTAGGAACGTAATAAAAAGGTGTGACACGTAGCCACGCAGCCCCTCCCCGCGCTATCCCGTGAGCCCGGAATCGTCCTTAGCTACCCTGGCCCTTGTAGGCCTGTTGCCTGTCCCATCAAGGCCCCTGTCACCAGGCAGAGCTACTCCGACAGTTACTGCTGCAGCCTGGGCTGATTTTAGCTCAGAACGCTGACCTGTGTTGGGAGATGTGCCCAGTTTAAGGGCAGAACTAGGCTGGGAGTGAAATTGACTGGGCTGTTGGTGTCACTAGCTCCCTGTTTTCCCAATGTTTTTTTTTTTTTTTGCATCGCAGTTTATTTTGTTTTCTGTGTGAAGTACCGAACATGTGTTCCGCTTGGAAAGGTGTTGGTGCCTAAAAGAATACCTTGTCGTTTCTGTCAATGGGTTTCTTCGTTCTTAAAATAAATTGATCTCGGGGGTAGTGCGGACTACGGTACACGCTTCTGGGTCAGAGCTGCCGCCTTTGTCTTTTTGGTTTGTTGGTTATAAATTTAAGGTATTCAGGATAGCTGGAGTGGGTATTTTGCCCCATTTTATTTTTCTCTTCAGTCTTCTGATTTAAAAAAAAAATATTTTAAAATACATTTTTGTTGATTTCAGAGAGGAAAGGAGAGGGAGAGAGAGAGAGAAACATCCATGATGAGAGAGAATCATGGATCGGCTGCCTCCTGCACGCCCCCCACTGGGGATCGAGCCCGCGACCCGGGCACGTGCCCTTGACCGGGAATCGAACCTTGACCGCCTGGTTCCTAGGTCGACACTCAATCCCTGAGCCACTCGGCTGGGCCGGTTTTCTGGTTGTGTGTGCTGCTATGCGGGCTCTTCTGGGAACTTAGAATAAACACGCAGGTTGGAGGGAGCCTCTGAGGAGGTCGAGTTTCCGTCAACTGCTCTTTTCCTCAGAAACCCCCAGTCGCAGAGGCACCGTGGAGATGAAGGGCTTGTCTGGGTAAAATGAAAATGTCTGATTAAATATTAATAAGTACTTTATTGGATGTCTGCTCCCGCGTTGGGGACGAGAGCAGCCTAGACATCTATTTTATGAGTGTCTTTTTAATTGACTTCGCTGTGATAAAACCATCAGGACCGCCTGGTGTGGGCAGGACCCGAGTGGGCCCCACGTCCCTGCCTCGTCACGCGCTCAGCGAACAGCTCGGAGGAGCCGGGGCTGGGCCCCGCGCCCACGGGGGATTTTCCTGGATGAGCGAGGAAGCCACGCGCAGCCACCACTGCCTCCTCTTCCTGCCGCCT